AATATTTATATACATCTTAACAAAATTTGAATTTATTTTCTATGTGGCATATTTAATAATAATTTAAAAAGTTTTCTTTAGAAAGCTTAAAGTCTAAAAAAAATATTACACACAACAATTTTAAATGTTCAAACTTTTAATAGAGAATATATTTTTTTAATGAAATAGTCTAACTCGAAAAACTTTCTTAACTAAACAAAATAAAATGAACAAGACTATATTTTTATATCTGTTTGAAAACAGTCTAATTTGACAGACTTAAAAAATAAACTAATTTTTTTTCACTAAAGTAAAAAAAAAACTAAATTAATTTCCATTAAAAAAAAATGTTAACCTAACACCTTAAATGTTGCATAAATTCATATATCAATGTTTTTCTTTATATCGTTTTGAATCTTTTTTACCAAAGTCCACATTTATATACCTCTATATACATACGTATATATATGTATATATGTAAGCAAATTGTTTTTGTTTTGATTCAATGTTCTGCTAAGAACTTCTACTCCTCTCTCTCTCTCTGTCTCTCTTGCTATCACTCTCTCTCTCTCCCTCTCTCTATTTAACTTTATATTAATTGCATATTTACATATTCGAGAACCAAAGCACAAATAATCACACCGAATTTTTATTTCTCTAACAAATACTCTGGCCAACTACAACTACAACAACAACAACTACAACAACAATAACTACTACAACTACAACTACGTTAAACTCTGGCAACTCGCAACGCAAACAAAAAAAAACTCTACTCAACAACTCAAATGCCTCTTCAACTGTTTCTTTTTCTCCTCTGTAACTAACTAACTAACTAACAAACTAACTAACTATATAACTAACTATCTTCGCAAAACTGACCAAAAATACCAACAACAACAAATTTTAAAATACATAAAAAATATATAAAAATGTCTATATACATAAATATTTATACGAACTACTTCAAATGTGGCCAAAAACATTCGGTTTTTATGGTCTCTATAACGCGTGTGCTGTTGCTATCCTATGTCAACACACTTTGAACAACACTCTTAACAACAACAACAACAACAACAATAATAATATAAACAACAACAACAAAAACAATTCAATAACCAAAATTCATAAACTAAATACAACAAATAAATAAAAATCGAACTAAAAAAAACCTTTTTAACGTTATCAATTTGCCTTAAAACTATAAACTAAAAACTTTAAATGTAAACAATTTAAACTCTCATATATATACTTATATATATAAACTGTCTAT